AGGCAACAGCTCTGTCCTCAGCTCCACGGCCACTTTTCTAGATTTTGGTTTTAATACTAGTAATTTAATTAGTTTCATATAGTTTGATTCACATTTAATTTTTTTTTTTTTTTTTTTCAAAAAGGTGGACCAAATAAAAATGCTATTATTTATCGAGTATACACAAAAATAATGTATATTTAATCTCAATAACTAAAAAATATACTGACAATTAGCTTGACAGAATTGTCACTTATTTAAAATTTTAAAAATACAAGTAGTTGGGTGTCCAAAATATAAACTGTGATTGGTGGATTTCATTTTTTTGCAGTATTCTCACTACCTAGAATGGATTTTTTTTATAGGGGGGGGGGGGATAAAATTTACCAAGATTACATGTTTAAAATATAATTTTATTAATATTAAGTTTTAATCACAAAGATACTAGGACAGTACCTAGAACTAAAAATAGTTAAAACAAAAACACTTTTAAACTGTTACTAGATATTAAAAGTCTAGTCAAATAAGGAAGCTGTATACACTTTTCTTTTAATATCTCTCTGTAATGTGTGGAATATGGGTTACCCCACGGCACTTATGCCTCCTTAGGCCCATTGTGCATCCTCCTGAGAAGATATGCACCTCCTAGCTCGTGAGTCAGCCTACAAATTTAATGTAGTTGACAACGTCGCCAAGAGGTGCTTCTCTTATATCGGCCGGTGTTAGCCGATAGTCGCCTAAAACAAATCTTCTAATAAATGAGAGCGTCGAGCAATCGTTAAGGATATGCTCGATGGTCTCATCTTCTTGTTCGCACCCTCTGCAGAGTGCGGATTCTGACAGCCCTATGATATGGAGATGCTTTCGTACTTGCCAATGGCCAGTCAGAATGCCTGTGACTAGGCGCAGATTCTGTCTAGTCATAGTCAAGTATTTGTTTGCTGCAGTGTTGTCAGGATACCTTAAGAGCTCCCTGGCAACTCTGCAGTTTCTTGTTTCATCCCATCTTTCCTTGAATTTCACAAGGGAATGTTCTTTGATTAGGTCTGTCACTACCGATTTTATCAGGCCAATAGAAGGGCCAGGTCCAAAAAGTATTTGGTTGGCTGCTTTCTTGGCTAGTGAATCAGCAAAACGGTTACGTTTCGATGTGTCGTGACCTTTAATCCATCTTAAGGTGACCATGTTGTTGATGGATACTTCGGTCAAAGCTTCGTGACATTCTAGTACTAACCCTGAATAAATTCGTGGTCTGTTCAGGGTAATTAGTGCTTGTCTGCTATCTGTATAGGTGAGCATGTTCCTTCCAGTGATATTTTTCCTGGTTATTTCTTTTGCTGCTATGAGAATCCCCGTTAGCTCTGTTTGAACTACATTAGCACTATTGCTCACAGCCCATTGTATGTTTAGGTTCTTCTAATATAACTTTATATGGCTTATGAGAGATATATTTTGGTGAGATGGAGTCCATGTTCACTTGAAGCAATGGGAGCGTATCCAGCGCCTCCTGCCAAAAGTGATGTCTCGCCTCACCAGATCCTACATCAGGTTCTATTCCGACCGTGCGGAGGCGTGTCATTGTCGTCAGAGCAACCTCCTTGATGTAAATATCAAGGGGAGTGAGACTAAGAATGACTTCCATGGCTCTAATCGGTGTTATTTTCATGACAACTGCACCGTATGTTAGCATAGGTCTTATGATAGCCGTGTAAGTCCATGCGACGACTCTGGAGGAGAAATCCCAGGTGCGCCCCACGGTTCGACTGCATTGTTCATAAGCAATGTATGCTCTTTTAACTCTGTTTTCTAAATGCGAGTTCCATGTTAACTTGCTGTCAAAGGTGAGACCTAGGTACTTCACCTCTGTTGCAAAGTTTAGTTTTGTGTTTAGGAGTTCTGGAGGTTTTAATTCCATTTTCAACCTTTTCCTTGTGAAAAGGACCATTTCTGTAGAAGGACCATTTTTGTCTTTTAATAAAAAAATAATTTAAGGTGCTGCAAAATAATAAACGTGTATTTCTTATTTCTATTATATGAAACCCTTTTAAACTTAATTTTTTACCCTGTAATAAATATAAGTCGAAAAAATAATTTAGGTACTGCTGGATTACTTTAAATTATTTTTTGTTTTTTATTTTCTTGTGTCGTATATACATTCATTTGGTTTAGTATTAATGTCATACACCTTACTCTTTTAGTAAATACAAGTGAAGTTGAGATACGTGAATTTGTCTTTTTTTATGTTTTTCAAGCTATCTGATGCGTTAAAAAATTAAACAAAATGTGGTTTTTTGGGATATCGCTTTTTGGCTTAGAAAGGCAGACTACAAAATCAGCCTACCTTTTTATAAGATTTTTATAAATTATAATCATGAGGGGGTAATTACCCCCAGTACCCCCCCCGTAAATCCGCCCTTGAATGGATATGAAATATATTCGTTTAGTCAAACGAAATAACATACTTAATTCTACACTCACATGGATATTAGTTTATCTACGCACAGACTACAAAACAAAAACGTATGTCATTGCGTTCAACTTAACGAATATATTTCATATCCATTCTAGGTAGTGAGAAAACTGCAAAAAAATGAAATCCACCAACCACAGTTCATATTTTGGACAACCAACTACTATTATTTTTAAAATTTTAAATAAGTGACAATCCTGTCAAACTAATTGTCAGTATGTTTTTTAATTATTAAGATTAAATATACTTTAAAATGAGTAATTTTTGTGTATAATCGATAAATAATAGTAAATAATAGCATTTATTTGTATTTTTATTTGAACCATATTTTGAAACAAAAATTAAATTTTATTCAAACTATATGATACTATTTTAATTACGAATATTAAAACCGAAATCTTAACAATGGCCGTAAAGGCATGGACAGAGTACTTTACTTCCACGCGAAAAGCTGGAGATCGATTCTCGGCTACACGACTGATTTTTTTTTTCATATTTATTTTATTTTAAAAATCAGTAAAATTCATAACTTATTTTAGAATTAGTTATTTTGTCTTAATAACTTAAAATATGTTTTTAATTTGTAGATTTCCGTTAGTGGGTCGTAGAAAAAATATACTGTGCAACTCGAGTGGATTGTCCATTTCGTCTTCAAGCGATATGACTATCATATCCACTCTTGTTGCACAAACTACTATTTCGTTTTGTTGACTGTGCGTAGATAAGCTAATATCCATGTGGATGTAGAAAAAAGTTATTACATTATTACATATTAGTTTAAAAAATACGATGGCAAGGTGAAATGTTCTCGGCCTAGTAAGACTGTTAGTCCAAGAGCTGATGACGAATTTGGGAAAGGTATTTTAGGCAATTTGAAATTATACTCTGCGATCTATGGTGTCCTCTGGAATACCATACTTTTTTGTAGTTTTCGCAATGGGACACCTCGCCTTCTTTCCTCCACAGCTTGCTTAGGCTTATCTTCGTCATATCTTTCATAATTCGTCCCACATTTTTTTTGTATCTACCCATGTTTGAGGAAACCTGTAAAAAAGAGTCTAAAAAATATCTGTGCCTAACTTGAGACATAAACTTGAGACAAATATGTCTCAAGCCACCGACAAAAATTACTTTTTTATAATTATTTTGTAAAAAAATACACCGTTTTACTCAATAAAAATATTATCTTACCTAAATATTTACCATACGTGCAAAAATGAAAAAAATATAAAACTAAGATATTGGTAAATTATGCCTACATAGAAAGAGCTTTACGGCTATTTTTAAATTTGATAATTGCAGAAAACAAAAAAATGTGATTTTTATTTATTTACCTTTTTAAAATGCAGAAAAACACCACTAACCGATTGAAAAATAACCTGTCGTTGTAGTAAGCCATGTGCCGACTGACAGCACGAGACCAAAATAGAGTTCAGTCTCATCTTTTCATAAAACGTACATTTCTGCCTCAAGTCAGCAAGAAGTCTTAAGTCACCCAACCTTACGGTAAAAATGTAATAATAAAACATATAGTAAACGTGTGCATGCAACAGAAATTCAATCTAGCTCGTAATTTTGAAAATAAAAATTTCAACTTTAACACCCTGTATATCGAAAACCAGTCATAGGATTTAGTTGAGCCTATTGACACTTTTGGTTACTAGGTTGAGAACAATAACATACCAAAGTTTCAGAAAATTTAATCGGTCGTCACTTTACATAAAGAAAGAAGAAATTCACATCTTTAAAAATGTATAGATAAAAACAATTGGAAGATCAAAATCAGAAAGGATCACAAAAAGAAAAAATATTTTTGAAACTCTATCTGAACAAGAATAGGTTAAATGTTATTTTTTTACATGTATTCAATAAAATTATTATCAACGTATCCTAACTATAACCTCATAAACTCTTAAATTAATTAGCCTTCGATAACGTCACACTAGTAAGGTCAGTTTGCACAATAAAATCGTGAAAAAAAACGATAATTTCTACAGCACTGTACAATAATTTGATTATGGTCATCTGGCAACACTGGTGATGGAACATTTGTGTAGCAGCACTCTCCTTAATTTGAAAATAGGATATCAAGCTTATGCCTAGCTATTTGACTTCTTTTTTCCATTTTATATCTATCTCGTCTAATTTGACGATTTTGAGAATTGAGTTTACTTGAAAATGCTACTAGTGTTGTTTCGGTGGGGTTTATACTAATTCCCACCTTGTGTCACCTATTAGAATTAATAATCATTGGTTAAAAATTCCATAAAATATGAAAAAAATCTATTTTTTTAAACAATTTACAGGAAACGCAACGCATTAATTATTATCACCGTACATTAAGATAATTATGATAATGACATTTTATGAATAGGTATATTGTTTATTTATTTGTATATCAAGTTTTTAATATGTCTTTAATTTTGTTTTTTGTAAAATTACACAATGATTAGGTATCAAAAAACTCTTAATGAAAAAGGAAATTATATTTCATATTGCATTCTAGTAATTTTGTTGTTTTTAGTTTATTAAGATTAATAAACTTTTTGTTTTGTTTCAGCATCTAGTTTTAAAATGAGTACGATTGGGAACCTAGGAATATTTTGTGTTACTATTTTTTCATTAATTACCATAGGTACGTATGACAATTGTTTAACTGTTTGTTTAGTTTGATTTGAGGTTAATATGAGGGCTACCTTTAATTGCGAACTACCAGATCCAAAATCTTAAAAGTTTTTGAAGGTTTGGGTAAAAACTAGAGTGACTACATACCCTGTATTTACTCAGGAATAATTGTTTTGATTGTACCTTACTCAAAAATGGTTCTGGTTCTATGAAATCGTACTTGGTTCCTCTTTTGGCGATCACGTAGACTTTTCAATCTGAAGGTTTAAAAGCAGTGCGTTTCAATATTCACATAAAGATTTCAATAACAATACCTATCTGATACATTTACACAAAAAAAGAACATTTTCTTTCTCCACTAGAAGCTTAAGAAGGGAGCCCATTCTATTTGCATCCACATCACAGTATGGTGCATTGCAAGAACAATGAATCATTTTCAGTAACCACACTGGCATAGATGAAATATAGACATTATAGGTTAATATGAGTTTTCCTTAACAAACCAACCCCATTCTAAATTTCTATTTCTTTTGATTTCCAAACACTAATCTGGTAATACGTATGAAAACTATGGTACTTACTTTGCTGCTAACTCTGTAGATTGCCAACTACAGGTGAGATAAATGATTTATCTGCGGCAATCTTTTCCATTAAAATTCGATGACCAATTGGTTATATAGATTCTCCCATCTTGCCGCTGGTGACCCATCAAAAAATGCGCCCCGATAAATGCGCCCCGACAAATGCGCCTCGACAAATGCGCCCTAACAAATGCGCTTCTTGACATAATCGCCCACGACATATACGCCTCCCGTTTTTAATTTTGTGTTGAACTTATATGTCCCATTAGCGCCTCATTGCTCGATATTTCAATTTGTGTTATAGACACGCAAACAAGTTTAAAATAAAAATTTTATGGATCTGAAAAAGGCATATTTTAAAAATATTTTTGGATATACAGAGTGTTACGCTTTTGTCTGGCGAATAAAAATGTAATTTCTTATTTGAAACATCCTATATTTTATTTCAGTGTTAGATTGCTTACGTAATAATGCTAGAATTTTTTCAAAAAATGTTACAGGGTTACCAAACAATTATTTTTTTTTTTTGTAAAATTAGAGACTGAGGCAGACCCCAAATGAAATTATCATAATTTGGGTAGGTTGGCAATGATTTCAAAATTATTTAAAATACTTACTCATAAGATACCAAGCTATGAATAGTAGTGATAAAACTGTTTCATTTTATACAGAGTGTTTTGAAACATGTATTTAATATGGCTAATTTTAAATTCATTTTACTCAATACCTTGTATATTATTTTGGTATAAAATTTATTAAAAATTTACCTATCCAACGATATCAACACGACATGTTGGCCTATTATACATATACAGGGTGTCCCATCAATGCATAATTGATCGTGGCAATTTTATTGTTGGATATACGAAGAAATTTTTTATGCAAAACTAGCATGACCATATTTTATAATTACTCTTAAATATACATGGTAGCCCATAAATCAGGGGCTCACCAAACTTATACTTTTTTATAGCAAACACGTAGGTAGTTACACATAACAAGACCAAACAATTTTAATAGTTTAAAGTTCCTTAAAATGTTTTGCATTTTTATTCATTTACTATTTTGTATATAGGACGTGTCAAATTAATTAATTAATTAGTTTCTTTACGAGCACTTTTTTGCATTTCTTATACCAAAACACATTTTTGAATTTTATTTACAATAGTTTATATTACTTGTGACTAGGGGCGGTTTCTCCATTAGTTCATTTGTGCAGTGAACACCCAGTTAAATTTCATAAGAGCACATTATTTTAAAATCCCATATAAATAACTTAATAATATAAATTCACTTTAATATATTTATTATTTTCGTACGTATTAATCTCTACTATTTTGGTACCCCACTGCGCTCAAGCCGACCGCGTCTGTCGGTTCAATATGTCTAGTGAACACGAGAGGTGTCTGAGAATGGATATTAAAAAGACAAGTTAATAGATACGTGAAACAGCAGTATACCTGCTTGAAACCACTCTATTTTTAGCATAATTTTGTGCATCGCACGTAGATTACGTCACGACAGTTAACATCGCTTGGTCCATGCAACGATTAGTTATTGTGCTTGATCAAGGTCACTCTGACTGAGAGTCTTTAATTCAACGTTGCCACATTTGGTAGATTTCTGCTTTTTTGGTAGATTTCTGATTTTTTGGTAGGTTTTCAGTTATTTTGACTAGTTTTAGTAGACAATTTTCTTTTGGTAGATTTCAGTTTATTTCTAAAAATTAATAATAAAAATCCAATTACCCAAATAAAACTTTCTATTTAAATAATATTGTTGCCAAAATGGATTGCTAAAAAGGTTAGGGCCGGGCCATCATCAAAATAAATAATCAGTTATTTTCGACTACTAGATTACTTAAAAATAATCGATTCTTTTTGATTTATCAATTATTTTCGATTCTTTTCGATTCTTTTCGATTCTTTTCGATTCTTTTCGATTCTTTTCGATTCTTTTCGATTCTTTTCGATTCTTTTCGATTCTTTTCGATTCTTTTCGATTCTTTTCGATTCTTTTCGATTCTTTTCGATTCTTTTCGATTCTTTTCGATTCTTTTCGATTCTTTTCGATTCTTTTCGATTCTTTTCGATTCTTTTCGATTCTTTTCGATTCTTTTCGATTCTTTTCGATTCTTTTCGATTCTTTTCGATTCTTTTCGATTCTTTTCGATTCTTTTCGATTCTTTTCGATTCTTTTCGATTCTTTTCGATTCTTTTCGATTCTTTTCGATTCTTTTCGATTCTTTTCGATTCTTTTCGATTCTTTTCGATTCTTTTCGATTCTTTTCGATTCTTTTCGATTCTTTTCGATTCTTTTCGATTCTTTTCGATTCTTTTCGATTCTTTTCGATTCTTTTCGATTCTTTTCGATTCTTTTCGATTCTTTTCGATTCTTTTCGATTCTTTTCGATTCTTTTCGATTCTTTTCGATTCTTTTCGATTCTTTTCGATTCTTTTCGATTCTTTTCGATTCTTTTCGATTCTTTTCGATTCTTTTCGATTCTTTTCGATTCTTTTCGATTCTTTTCGATTCTTTTCGATTCTTTTCGATTCTTTTCGATTCTTTTCGATTCTTTTCGATTCTTTTCGATTCTTTTCGATTCTTTTCGATTCTTTTCGATTCTTTTCGATTCTTTTCGATTCTTTTCGATTCTTTTCGATTCTTTTCGATTCTTTTCGATTCTTTTCGATTCTTTTCGATTCTTTTCGATTCTTTTCGATTCTTTTCGATTCTTTTCGATTCTTTTCGATTCTTTTCGATTCTTTTCGATTCTTTTCGATTCTTTTCGATTCTTTTCAATTCTTTTCGATTCTTTTCGATTCTTTTCGATTCTTTTCGATATTTTTCGATTTAAACCCATTATTTTTATCTTTGCTTAGCAATGCCCAGGGTGGGTATACTGGCTTTTGTATAGCCACGTAATTTAATCCAGAATTGCTTCACTAAAAGAGCACATGTTTGTGCGCTGCATAAAAAGCATATTTCAGGATTCACTGGCAGCTCTTAGGTTTGTCCTCTCTAAAAACTAACCAAAACAACAAATTTTTGCCTTTTTAGATTGACAAGTTCTTCGAAAATGTCACGAGTTTCAGATGAAATAAAAACGATAGTTTCTGCGCTTGTACCATTTCTAGTAATGGATCATCTAAGTGATGGTATCAAGCAACCTTTTCATGACTCAGGAATCTTATAAAAAAATTCGGAATTTAATTTTATTAAAACGGACAATGCCAAAGAAGTTTTGAGGGATATTGGCTCTTGTACAAAGTTTTACAAATGCTAAAATTATTGGAAAAAATTGAACTCCCATTTTAAATTACCACGAGCCGCCACTGCTTGTGACGTCGACGAAATAAAGAACCATCCATTATTTCTGATAAATAAGTTAATAAAAATTTTAGCATTTTACCCTAAATAGGTCCATATTTTCAAAAGCCAATTGGAAAAATGTGAAAAAAAGATGTAGAAAATTTTCAGGATTAAACCATCTCGAGAAAAAATTCGTTTGGTTATAGAAAATGCCAAACGAAATAAAAAATTAAGAAATTCATTTATAAATTGGTGGTAAAACATATACATAACATATACATTTGAAAAAATTGAGAATATCGTAATCTTGCATTTGAACACCCTGTATATATTTTAGCAAATTAATGAAAATGCAAAAATTATTTAACGATGTGAGAACAACCAAATCTGTTATCTGTAAATATCTACACGGTGTTTGGTTTAAAAGAATATAAGTTCGGTTCATCCCTCATTTATGGGCCACCCTGTAGATAAGAAACTTATTAAATTGAACTTAAAATAAGTCACATTTTTGACATGTTTTAAATCAAATTAACATGTCCTTACGAAATAATGCAATCCTTTCCTGAACCCCCAATAGGGAAAATAAATAATCTGCAGTAATTAGTTATATATAGAATAAAAATAACAAAAATTATTGGGGCGAGAAGCGCATATGTCGGAAAGCGCATTTGTCTGGGCGTTTTTCTCGGGGCGCATTTGACCGGGGCGCAATTGTCTGGTAACCCTTGCCACTATATAGTAGTAACTTAGGCTTTTATCCTGCATTTAGTTGGCTTCCATTTAAGGAATATACTTTTGGATCCATCTGTATCTGTTTATCCTTGATTAGTTTTTCCAAAGTATTTTGAAACCAGTAAAAGCATGTTAAAAGAAATTATAAAATATTACTAACCAAGAAGGCTTGAATGGCTAGATAATCGTCTTCTAGTGTCACTGCGGAAGTACAGTTTAAAACTATTATTTTTAACATGGTGTAACAAAAAAATTAACAAGTCTGTAGCTTCGCCAACATTTGGGATAAAGATACTGTAGAATGAAAATCTGCACCTACATCAGCATGTATACAAAGTACTCTACTTTCGTCAATATGCGTAATAAGACGTTGCTCATTTATTTAATTTGCCAAGAAATGTTCTTTCTGTCCAACAAATTATATGCCAGAAATAAAAATGACAGTCTTAGTAAGGTAATGCGCCTTTTCTGGGTAATGTTTTTAATAAATGAAGCACAATCTTAGCATCGAAGGCAGCCTTGAAATGTGTAGTTTGTGTACGAATTTGCTATGCGATTAAGTAGAGATCATCCATCTAAAACGTACTAGACATTAGCTTGATTGCACAAGTTACCACACTTTTTCTGTATTGTATGGTTTAACTAGAGTTCGCAATCCAAATGAACATAGAGCTCATAATTTAAGACACCTGCAAGATTCGTCTTACCAGCTGAAGTAACAGTTTTCATTCTCTGGAACAACATTGCATCTATGCCAATCTGTCAATGTTTTTTCTGAACTTTAAGGTACATTAGAATTTAGAAAAAATGTAGCCATTTTGAATTTGGTTATTAATTATAGTTTCTCAAAGTCGAATTTTGCAGGACTTTCGATATGTTAAAAAACAAGATTTTTTCTTGAATTAAATACCACTTCAATCGCTTCTGAAGCCGATCAAATCCTAATTTGAGTATTTGTATATTTTTTTTAGGTTTTCCTTTAAGTTGTTTCCAGTGTAACTCCGCCATCAATCCTGATTGTTCTGGCCTCCATGTAAACGATACAACTAGTAAACATTATAAGGAATGCACTGGAGTCTACAACGGAGAAACTCCATTCTGCAGAATATACGTGACTAATGGTAATTATTTAAAACTGAGAATTCCTTGTGCAGCGGTGCCACAGGAAACAGCTTGGCAGTAATACGTTAAGTTCTAGCGTCGATAAATTTTATGTTTAATCGATGATTTTTAATGCCGACCGTGGATTTTGTATTCACTAGAATAGTTTTTTGCCTGTCAGTAAAACCACTGATCTTATAATACGAGGGTATGACTAGGGTATGACTGGGGAAACGGGACAAAAATCCAGAGGGGTTGCGGTTACAGTTACGGTTACGGTAGTGGCCCTACGAGATCGGTGCTGAAATTTCCTAGGGTGCACGGTGTGGGAAGGGGTGCATCTTTTCGAGAGAAAGTGAATTATCTCAAGATTTTCATGAGAAATGTCATATGTCATCGTAAAAATAGTATTTTAAAAACCAGTAAGAATTAAAATTATTAGGAGAGTGTTAACTAGTGAATGAATGAACACTAATCACAGGAAATACTTTAATAATTAAAATTGATTGACAATTCAGAAAAACTAGGAAAATGTCTGTCCTGACGTTCTTCATCTATCAAATAACTAACTTAATGTCTAGGTATAGGACAAGTATGTAGTCCATGTAGTATTAATGAAATATGCTAACATCATAGATATATAACCAAGACAGATAGGATTATTTACAAAATTTTTGAAGAATGAACGGTGGTGTCCGCGGTAGAAACTCAATAATTGGATTGAACATTGATGCCAAGTTTACGTGTTTTAACTATAGATATATATAACCAATACAGATTACACAATTTCTGAAGTCAACGCGGATGATCCTCGACAGAAATGCAATATTTGGATAGAATTAAAATATTGATGCCAAGTTTGCGATGTTTTTAACTGTAGTAATGTTATTGCGTTTGCTTGAATTACTGTTAGGTCTTTCAATTGTCCAAAAAAAAAAAAAAATGTCTGACAACAGCGAAAGTAGAGTAGACCGCAATTGTGGAGGGTCGTATATTGTTTCATTCATAAAAATTCCTTCGATACAGTACTAGTCCAGGAGCCAGTGAATTTTCCCGGTCCGTGTATATTTAAATAATCTATTCCCGGTGAACTGTATATTTAAAATGAAACGCCAATATATTAACAAAAGTAAGCCAGATTGAATTCGCGCATTACATCACATCGATACAAGTGAGATTGTTTACAAAGTGCCTTTGCAGGCCTATTTTGCCCATTTAATGTATTTGTTTTTAAATCATGTTAAATTACTATTTTTGAAACTCAACAAGGAGAAAATCCAATTAACTCTTCCGTTGTGTATATATATATAAGATAAATTAACTGAAGTTTTATTAGTAAAGTATTAATACTAAAATTTTAATGTAATTTACAGAAAATAGCTAGGTATGTATTTGTTTTTAAATAATTTGATAATTTATGAAAAAAATGGAGTAAAAGTGGAATAACCAGTAGCCAGTAGGTGAGTCAATACAAAGTATCATATATTTCTATTATAACATAACTAAAATACCTACATCTTTTAATCATAAGAACATAAGTTAAAAACCATTTTAATATATGCATTAGAATGAAGTAATAATAACTTAAAGAGACGAGGTCTTAAAGTAATAGCTGGTACAGCATATTTTTTAAACGTTTCCTCATTGCTGCTAGAATGAAATCACTTACTATGAAATGTGCTCTAAAAACGGCATTTATAGCAGTCAGTGTTCAGTCTTAGGATCTCTTCCTAAAGCCCTCATCTAAGCTGCATACATATTAAAAAATAATTTAAAAAAAAAACATATTATATACCTATATAGTTTTCGGTTCTGGGTGCCCTAAAAGAGGACACTTAGCCGACAATTTGGCTCAGATAGCTAAAACCCAAAACTCACACCCCGAACCAGGACGTATTGCTATCCTTTTAAGTAAAAAATAACTACAAATAACTTACCTGAAAAATGAAGGCGTCTAACTTTACACCAAAAAAAACATACACTTTTTCCCATTGTTGCAAGCACCCGATGACGATTAGGTAGATATCAACTAGAAGCATGTACTTAATGGTTATAAAGCTTATTTTAACACAAAAAGAATAATGCACTAGTCGAAAAGCAGCAATCAAATATAAATAGACCACAATATTAAAATTCAAATTAAAAACTATAAAAAAGACAAATACTCTAAAAGCGCAAAAGATCAGAACCAAATAAAATGAATAACCATAATAACCTAAAAATCACACTAAAATTGCAAAAACTATTACTGTAAAATCATGAGATTACATCAATAATGCATATGCGTCGGAGTATCGCAAATGTCAAAAGTACAGTGTTTCCATGAAAATTTAGCTATGTTTTTAGCAGTATTATAGGACCATTTCTACCACGCGCATCCAACGATATTGGCGTTCCACAGTTCACTGTATTTTCCTCACACCTCTAGTATAAATAATTTGACATAATGAAACTAACAATAATTATAATTAATGTAGAGTAATAAGTGATTCGTGAATTCTAAATAAAACAATTATTATATAAAAGTGTAAAAGGAAATGCAATTTATTTCCCTATTTTCTTCTGTAATATCTTCAATTATGTTTAATTTCTATAAATAAACCAACTGGTTAGGTGAAACATTGTGATATAAGATTTTATTTATGTGTCCTATACGTACACTTTAATATACAAAACACCTGGAACATTCTTTAAATAATTGTGGTCATAGAAATAATTGTGTACATAACTCGTTTGAAAGTGTATTTTATGCACTTGCTAAATATATTATCCATACAGATTAATCAGACTATTTTTTTACTTAACTTCAGTACATCTCTTACTACTAAAACTATTTTTATCAATGAAAAAAAAGGGCCGTGTTCTCGTATGTTTTGACGCATTTTCGGCTTCAGCCCATCGGATCCCCCGTCTAAATATATATGAATTTTGCTTAGAATTGCTAATCCTACAATTCTCTATTCGTGCTTGCTGACTGGGAAAATAAATACCGAAAATTGTCACTGTCTCCTGGACTATACGATAGATGATGATGAGAACTTCACAACAAACACACTTTTATGAATGGCTATTTGGGGATATGGCTAGTTGGGGATGTGGCTAACATCTCCCTTTTTCTTTAACTGAAATCATCATATCCATATCGTTTAGGTCTTTGTGTAATACGACGAGGTCTATTTTGAATGTTGAAATGTTGACTAGCTGAGCTATTAGTGGGAATATGGTCGGGTACAGTTGTTGAGGTTGGTACTAAATTAAACGTATCTATTAAAATATCTAAGGGCAACTTTTTGGTCTGTATATTGTTACAGGGTACTTTAAAGTTTCTTGTCTTCGGCTGATTTGCATGAGCTTTGACGAGATTATTTTTGTCTTCTCGAAAAACATTATACATTACATTCCCGGTGCGTTCTATAATTTTTCCTGTTGTCCATTCCTCTACATTTCGAGAAGTAATTTTAACGAATACTAAAAATTTTAATTTGTTGTCCAAAAATCTTCTTTAGAGTCGCTACCGTCTGATTAAAAGTATAATCTCGTGGATATTTAGGTAAAATAAAATTTATATATTTCTCGTGAGCCGGAGTACTTAAATTTCTAAGCAGTAACCGAACTCTAGTTGTGTCGTCTAACTTAGCTCCATCTATAAGAAATAAATCTTCATATCTTCTGAACCACGAATCGAAAGTAACGTTATTATCCAAATCTGGTACAAACTTCATTAGGTTTCTAGCTAAAGATTCAATAATTAACTCTGTGTTGTCCGTAGTAGAGCTTGCCCCCGAAACAACATTATCAATTTTTTTTGTTAGTTGTTCCAAAATTTTATTTTGCTGCTGCAAGGGTATCGGCATCCATTATCTTCGTCGCCACTATTAACTAGTGAATGAATGAACACTAATCACAGGAAATACATTAATAATTAATAATGATTGACAATTTAGAAAAACTAGAAAGATGTGTCCTGAAGTTCTTCATCTATCAAATAACTAACTTAATGTCTAGGTATAGGACAAGTATGTAGTCCATGTAGTATTAATGAAATATGCTAACAGAGAGTTTGAATCCTCTCGAAATAAACCGAGAAAAACAGTCGGTGAGTTCTCACTGGCTTTAAAATTATCGTTTTCACGTTGATATATTACATTTTTCATGAAATTCTTAAGAGAAATGAGTTCTCCCAAATTTGATAATGGGTCCCTTGGTATTTGTTGTTGTGACGGTTTGTACCTCTGTCATTGCAGACAACTATGGACATACTTCGCTATATCCCTAAACATACCAAGCCAATAATATTGCTGGGCTATACGACATATTTATGGTCTTGGCAATTCCAGAGTAACCTGTGGTGGGAGCATAGTGATTCTCCTTCAATACCCTAGGACGTTGTGGGGTCGGTACACACAGCTTCCATGGATGGGATAGCCCGGGTTCCTTGTAAATCATTTATATCCCAAAAGTGGCGATATAATCGATTCTCTCGTATACTGTAATCAGGGTATTCAACAGGATTCCTCTCTACGTCGGTTTTCTTTTGTTCACACCATTTACACTTGATATTTTCGTTGACGATGCACACTTCGGAGTTACTGGGAAAACCCTCAGTAACAGGAAACGGGTTTCGCGTTGATGCGATAGAGTTTTTGAGAATATTAATTATTTAAGGGTTACTAATTACTGTATAATGTTTTTATATTTTTAGTTATGCACATAAAGGAACCTGAGAAAGCCATGAGAATTGATAGAAGTTGTGGTTGGGTTAGAAATAGAACATTGCCTGAAGTTGAAAAATGTAGCAAAGACGACACAGATTTTATCAAAAAAACTAACTGCGTGTGCTTTAAGAATGGCTGTAATGATGCTGAATACTTGGGATCGTCCAAAATTATAATGACTTCATTTTTATTAATACCTTTTGTCCGCTACTATCTTTACCAATGAAACTAGTAAAATTATATTATTTACTTAAATCAAATAGCAATGAAATATATTTTTTACCTTCTTAACTTTTATAAAAATTTAAATTTTAAATGTTCCTAGACTTTTATTTCTATACAACTGGAAACAAAATAATTTTTGTAATTCTTATGTGTTTTGAGATTCCTGGAGCCATGGTGACACTATTACCCTATATTTTATTCAAACTTAGTTCGTTTTCATATTTAAGCATATCTATTGAGACTAAAAGGAATGGAGATGTCTTACTAAGTAAATGATACCATAAGACGGAACTTATTTCAAATTATCACTGTGGAAAGCACAATAACTGTATATTAAAAATTTGTACAGCTAAACTTGTTTTCTAGAAAAAAAAATTTGCTTCGCAGCATTTCTTGATAACGTTTTTTTAGCAGTCTCATTGACGCAAACGCAATTTTTAATTGACACACAGTGCTTCTTGTCTTCTGCCCCGAAACAAGGCAGAGTAAATTCGTCTTAAGAACAGAAAAGATGGATGTAAGTTCGAAAAAAAGAAGTAATATTTGTTTCTATATCCTGTTTACAGTTTGTGAGGAAAAAGAGGAAATACTGAGTATATCCTTACTTGAGTTCCCGTTCACTAAAGGTTAAAAGGTGCTTTTATAATAAGCTTTTTGATTCAAGAAATAATGATGAATATATTGAAATGGATTATACAGAGTGGGAATGATCAAACTTTAAAATCAACAATCGAAAATAACAGAATGTTTAAGAGGCACATTTATTTTTACTCATCTATAAAAAAAACACCCTGTACATCAAACAGGAAACACTTCTCTCAGCCATAATGTATAATTTTTGACAGGTGTGCCAACACAAAAAAGTAATACAATTAAATTCAAAATTAATAAAAAATTGGCAACTAATCTTATAAAAAAATTAAAGAAATTATTTAAATTTTACTCTCAAAGTATTTGAAAACTTATATTAAATTTACTCACCTAAAATTTGCAAACTTGTGATTTATTAAAGTCAGCTAAATATATCCTATTGGTCAGAATTTTTCTTTCTAGATACTTCGATAAAAGATTTGATTCTAATTTTTGGGTTACCAAGGGTTTTGTTGAAAAAACGAAAGGAAGCTTAAATTGAATTCCCAAAGGGAAAATTACGTTCTTTTCTGTTCCTGAAACATTTTAAATTTTTTATCTATTTTATTAAAAATACACCACAGAATCAACTTCAAAAGTAAAAATAAGTTGTAATAAGACATCTAAAATATAAGTGATCCCAAATAAAGTGAAACGCGAGTTTTAAATTGAAATTTAAGAAAATATACCTGTGTAACCAAGCAAGCAAATCCATAGCAACGAATGCGTGACGTAGCAGCTCCTGACGATGCTTCAGTGACTCTATCCAATCATTGTATTTAGATCAACTAGTAAAACAATACCAATGCAAATTATCTTGGAGGACAATGGACAGTATCAATAGATGGTGTCCAAGTAATGTCTTTGATAATTTTGTCGTCTTCGAAACGAACGTAATTTCTCTATTTACTAATAGATGGGCCCACAATCGATTCAGAATATTTGTTTTAAAAATGGAATATACGAGTTTAATTATGCTTGTTAAACATTTATTTACGATTTATTATCATTTTAGAGAATATAAACACTAGTAATTTAAATTTAGCACTCTATCCATATGAATTTAAAAATTAAGAAAATTTTATGTATATAGAATTCTGTACTCAATGATCGAGGAAAACTAGCGTTCGGGCTATTTTGATGAATTTCTAACAGATGTCGCGACAGAATTGCCTCCAATGAAACGTCCATAAGGTTGTTTTACTGAAGCGGCCCACACAAACTCCTGAACATATCAACATAGCCTAAAAATATCAAAAAGATAACAAACTTTTACGAACACTACCGAAAAAAGGTATAAGACAATTATTAAACTACTAAAATTAAACAATCACTTACCTATTTCTTTTAATTTCTTGTTTATTTCAATTTGTTAATTAAAAATCGGCTGATAACGGCCAGTGTTTACTATTCGCTCCGTGCGAAGTCATGGAAAGGGAAGCAAAAGCGTTACTAACGCTAGACGCGGATAATTCGTGCATTTTAGGGCAATATATTGTAATTTTGGCATATCAAATACACGTATACATTTTACTTTTTTTCAAAAAAGTAGGTAAAAACAATGCAATAAGCAACCGGAGTTGCTGTGTTGAAAATTGTACAAATACTAGCAAAAAAATCAGTGAAACTTATATAAAAAATTTCAGTAGTAAAGTGGAAATTAAATCAAAGAAATAAATGGATAGGGGTACAATAAGAAGAAAACTTACCTTTATTTTTGTAATAATAACAGTAATGCTGCAAATAGTAGACATCAGAAACTTGAAAGGTTTTAAATAAACAATAAATTATCATTTTACGATGTTCTTTAATATCCCTTTATTCTTAAATGTTCATTCAGCAAGGACTAGATTTCAAGATTTCTGCCTTTGATTATTATGTGGCTGGAATGAATTTAGTGACTTACTGATGGGAAACCGGTTTTAATCTTTCATTCTGTTTTCTTTCGAACAAAAATGAAAATATAAATAACGATCCTTTTTTATACATTTTAACTTCACGCTATTATTAAATGGTATTTTTTTATTTTGACAGAATATGCTAATTCTTCAATGACAACTTATTAGACTTAGGCAACTTCTCATACATTTTCCAGTAAATACTGTTGCCTGCCTATATTTTATTATTGATTTTTATTGATTATACATAATTTTCTTTAATTTAAGCGATAAAAATATATAATAATAATAATAATAATAATAAATTAATGTTTTACTTGTTTTACAAATTCATATACTTTTATTAAAACTAACATATATACTTTTTAATTACAAATTCTATTAAAAATTGTATTTGTCAGTATACACCGAAATAGTCCGTTAGTATCAAAACGAATTGGCGCTGCTGTCGCGCACGGAGCGAATAAATAACTTGCAAGACGAAACGAATATTAGCGTGAACAAATCTGTCTTCTTTCTCCCGGAATTAAATAATTTTAAGAATTTCCAGTATCATCTATTGTCCTCTAATATTTTAATAATAGGTAAACATGAATCAGACGACAGCTCAAATAAGGGATTAAAAAGGGATAGACACGAATTTATTGAAGCCGACTAAAATAGTTTATGCGCGTTAATCTAACACAAATTCAATGTTTTATATATGACAAATCGTATACCCCTATACGATAAACAGAGATATCAATCAAGTAAGAAAGGGATATGGGAGGTGTATTTTATGGTATTTGTTGTGGCACTGCTTATAGTTTTTGAATTTTATGTATGTAGGTAAATTATGTAAAACTATTAGAGTCCATTGACTGTTTTTTGCATGGAATTCCAATAGTTTTTTCTACCTGGTATCATTGATTCCAAAATAGTTAGCTTTTACATCTTACAAAACATAAACTTAGTAAAATTATATTTCTTCTTTGGTTTCTCATTTCTTTTATAGTCCTTAGGTAATTTCTTCTCCATACTACAATATCGCTTCTTTCTATTAAAATAGACTTTCTGGAATGCTTTTTCCATAGAAAACCTATTTCTTTTAAAAGTTTTCATAGTGTGCTTCGACTCATTTCAGGGTAATCCTTATCATCTCGAACCGTGGCAAGAACTTTGTCTACTGTCGGAAATTCTTTTCTAAAAAGAAGAACGCATTCGAAGTCTTTCTTTTAAAAGATTTTCTATTTGAAATTTTGGTTTTCCTGGAGCTTTACGTGCTGTTTGAAACTCGCCACATTTCTCTTCTTTAACAACTCTGTAAATCGTAGATTTCCCAACACCAAGCGTACTACTAACTAATTCCACTGTGTCATTAACACTTTTACATAAATGTTTGTCTGTAAATGATTTAAAACAATTAAATATGAATGTTTTTTCATTAACTGTTAAAGGACCGATTTTTTGTCGTTTACGCGGCCCTTCCAAATTTTCCATGATCACACTAGAATTCACACTGCACCTTGCAAGTTGCAACTAAACGACATTTAGTAAACTGTCAAGAATACACAACTTGGACCTCCTTACTAAATGGAAAACCTATAATCGCATTTTGGTGAAATTTGTTGGGAAGGTATTTATCTACTTATAATTCGATTACTGTAAGAAATTCTTGGAATTAAAATAAAACAAAATTGCCAAATAGGTACTTATTGAAAATAATCTTAAGATACGGCTATGTAATATTTAATACACAGGGCTTTTGGCCTGTTCAAACCTTTTTCTATTGTTCTGTACAGCTTATATTTATAAAGGACCAATAAAAGACCCAAAACTTGTAATAGCTCAGGTACGTTTATTACAATTTTAGGAAATATTTAGATTATTCTGTAAAAATATTTAAAATGACCGTACTAAGTTTTGCATTAGAAATGCTGTTTTATTACTCTCTCATACATAAAAATAGACTATAGTGCAGGGTACTGCGTAACAAATGGCCCGTATTTATAAACAAAACTCAGCTGAGTCGGACTTGGGTAAGTCGTCCTTGAACGAAAATCGAAGTTCGATTATATCGCGTGAATTTAGAGATGGGTAGTAACAAATCCGTAAATGTACATAACAGTTACAGATCTCTAAATTCCAGTATAACACCGGAACCATCTCGAACCGAACTTCGATTTTAGTTCAAGGACGACTTACCCAAGTCCGACTCAGCTGAGTTTTGTTAATAAATACGGGCCTATGTTTTGTATTTTAAACATTTCATTGGTATAATTTGTATGAATTCCTATCTGAAAGATATTGCGGATAACTCTGTCAGCATTCTTCACACAATCCAGACATTTCATTAATGTATACTACAAGATTAACTTTATATTTGGCATTGAAACATATTACGCATTCACAAAGCATTATTGATGTTTTGAAGCTTTTTCGTTCTTTTCTTTTTATCGTGCGAAAGTTTGAGATCCAAGAAATAAATTACTCATTTTACATTATCCATGCACTGATTTCCTGACGTGGAAATAATCTATTTCCTCGTAACAATTCCAATATTTCTATGTAAATACATTGAAAAATAG